ATATGAATTTATTCATATATAAACTTGTTAAAGCATGTATTTCACTAAAAATATATTACATTTTTGTATTTTGTAAGTTTTGTATAACTGCAAGACAGTATATATTTTGGTTAGCATAGGTCTCCCCTTTTGCCAAACCGTACTTGATTTTTGTACACAAGTCTCCCTGCTCTTTATAGTTCAGTGCCTAAAGCTCTCTGTCTAGTGGGGTAAATTTAACAATTTTGGTAGCAAGCAGTGGTTCAGGGGCAAGAACAACAAGAAAAACAGACTTGCTGAACCTAATTTACTAATATTGAGATGAATACGGAAACAATTTAATTGCATACATTTAATAGAAAGCATCAGTGAAAATGAAGGGTTTTTTATTGCTTACTGGGTCAAGGGGTTTGCTTTTAGCCCAGCTCATTATTGTTGAAATGAGAATGAATATCTTCGGTGTCTCAAACTGCTGCATCTCTGTACGTAGTGCTGTTTAATAACAAAAAGGGATATTTTTATTGTGACCTGTATTTCTCAAACAGTACAAACCGTAGCTTTGCTTTTATATGAAGGGCCTATATAAGCAGCTATATTACTACATTCTATATTATACCCACTTTTTAGAAAATATACCTTATTTGGCTGAGTATGAAATACATGTAATAACTAAACAAATAATAATATGTCAATAAAGAGTTACATTAACAAGAAGGGAAGAAAAGAAAACCAGCTATACCAAGAATTGGTTAATCTCTAATGACTGTTACGACACTGCAAGTAAAGTGTCTTTTTCTCCATCAAAACAGAATAATCCACAGAACTATAGAAAAAGTCTTCTTAATTTAAGTTAGAGTAAAATAAATAAATGTAGATTATAGTTTGTTGATTCCTCTAGAACTCATGAAGCTATGAATATAAGAGTATAATTTACTCTATCATATAATTATATCTATTATATGTGTACATACATATATATATATGTACATACATATATATATGTATGGCACCAACTTTCCATTCAGCTCATGGCTGTACTAACCAGATGCAGCCCATGTTGCTTCCTCAATTTGCTTTGCATCCTCAGTGATATTATATAAAATAATGTCACACTCAAGCAAGTAACTTAAAAGTTCATCTCGAGAAGAGACCTGTGGAGGGAAAAAAAAAATTTAAAGTTAGAAACCTTCGTTAAAGGAAAAAAATGGAGGGAGGGAGAGAGGGAGGGAGGCAGGAAGGAAGGAAGGAAGGAAGGAAGGAAGGAAGGAAGGAAGGAAGGAAGGAAGGAAGGAAGGAAGGAAGGAAGGAAGGAAGGAAGGCTGCATGTCAAATACATTGGAGTGATGAGAACATGAGAAAGTTATAGTTTGGGGTATTGTACACACTGAAAACTTTTCCTCAGCGCCTTCTTGAGCTCCTTGTTCCTCAAACTATACATGAGAGGATTCACAGTTGGAGGCNGAAGGAAGGAAGGAAGGAAGGAAGGAAGGAAGGAAGGAAGGAAGGAAGGAAGGAAGGAAGGAAGGAAGGAAGGAAGGAAGGAAGGAAGGAAGGAAATCCATACAAAACACCTCTTTCTTTTTAAGTTCAAGTAGTTTTCCCACATGTAGGTTTCTGAAAAGGATGTTAGAATTATTCATAAGACTATAAGACTGATATTGAACTAGGTCAGTCATATGAAAATAAGGATGATGCATAAATTAAATACGGAAGCACACAATCTACAATATATATTCATGTGGTTTGAAAAGAGAAAATGTGGAATTTTAGGATTTATATCTTCAGTATAATTGTATGAAAAAAGATTTTTTTTCTACTATTTTTAGCATTGATCAGCTAGCAGAGGGTGAAGGACAGAAAAATGTCAGCTGCTCTGCAAAATAAAAAATAATCTTATTCAACAGACATGATATGAGATTATAAAAAATAATCTCTTTCAACAGATGCTGTCTGTATCGCTCCAAGAAATGCTTTGCACGAGAGAAGCAACAAAGTTTGAATATCCCTAGCCATAATTTTCCGATGGAACAACTCAGCTATATACATATTCCTGTCAGAACATTCAAATGTTTGAAAAGATTCTAGATAATGAATGTGAGACACTTAATGGCAATCTTACCGCCAGAAAACCTTAAACTACCACATTCTTAAAAGTGATCCCCCTTTAGTTAGCTGAACTTTGAACATGTCTTTGCAGAAAGACGTAGGAATTCAGAAAAACTAGGAATTAGTGGAAGCAGTGATTTCAGTGCATAGTTAGAAAGGGAAGATACTGAATTTGGTCCAAACACCAATATGCCTAAAATGGTGCTAAAATACATAGGAGAGATGAGAAAGATACTTGATGTGTGGTTTTTTTTTTTTTTTTTTTTGTCAGGGAAAAGTATAACAGGATTGTGACTCATGGAGCAGATTATGTTCCATCCAAAGCAGTCAAATGTTTATGTATGTAAGTCCCTTAACATTTGTTGGATCAGACCCAACAGAGAGTGGATGACTATGTAGGAAGCAGAGATAATAAAATATGTGTATAAAGCTTCCAGCAGCAACAGGAGGCCCTTAACACAGGTCATTTTCAAAGATTCAGTGTATGTGGTCATGCCTGATGATGACATGAGATAACAAGACTGCTACTCACTGCATAGGTTTCCACTGCAAAAGATGGTTTATTGGCCTCTGCTTTGGAAAGAGTCCCCACCACTTGGTAGACTCCCTCCTTGGGCTTGTGGCCCCCTTTTGAGTTAGGAACTTCAGCATCTGATGTACTTTCCTCCTCTTCCTCCTCTTCTCCGACCTCTTCCAGCGAGGCCCCAACAACGCACTTGGACAAATACTGCAACACACACGAGTCAGGTTGTGCCCGGCCTCCCTCGGCCCGGCCCTGGGGTGGCACGGACGCCCCTCCAGCTTTGGGGGGCCTTGCGCCCCGAAGGCTGCCACCATCCCCGCTCGCAGCCGCTACCAGGGCCTTGTCCGCAAGGACCGTCACGGTGCCCCATGGCCTCCCCACTCCCGCAGGGGCCCCCGACGCCCTCCCGGCCTCGCCCACAGCCCCGCGGCCGGGGGCGCCGCGGCCACCTCGCCGACGCCGCGGCCGCAATAGGAGTCCAGGTGGTTGAGGAAGACGCGCTGGCTGCGCACGGGAGCGGCTGCCGCCTCCGCCATGGCCGCGCTGGGGACGCGGCCGTCGCTAAGCGACCGCCCCGGCCGCTCCACCCGCCCGGGCGCTGGGCTGGGGCCGCTTCGTCCCCCTCCTCCTCCTCCTCCTCGAGGAAGAGCAGGAGAGCTGCAAGGTGCAGCACAAGCGCAGGCCGTGGGCCCCTCTGCTAGGGCTCAGGGGAGCCTCAGCGCAGTTACGGGGTTCGTCTCTCCTCCCTTAGCGCCTTAGATTAGACAGAGGGGACATAAAAAAGTTTCACTGAGACGTAGATATTGCCAAGAAGGTGGTTTTCTTTAGTTTTTCCAAGGCTCAGGAACAGCAGAGACCATCAACAGGCATTTAGCACGCACCTCTTTTGGGCCCTTTCTGCAGGGCTCGTCCCTAAAGGGAGAAACTCAGTTCCCTGCTTTGAGGCAGGGAGGTGACCCGGCCTACCTTGGTCTGGGCAGTGCTAAATGCATCCTCCTTAATGGCCTTAGCAGACAGCATCTAGGTGAGATAAAAGCCATCCAGGCTTTTTAACTAGTAACCCGTGGTCAATGCATTACCTAATGTCCGTGTTTTGATTTTTTTTTCCCCTCTTCTATTATTAATGCATAATCTTGCCCACAGGAAATGTGCAATTTATGGATTAACAGCTGAATGAGGTAGAGCTGCCAGTTCAGATCATGAAAACAAATTACAGGCTAAGGAGACCTACAGAACATGGCTGTTCTCCACACTTGGAAGAAGCTCCATAGAGACAGCTATTCCACATTTACAGGAAGTGTGTTTTCTTCAGATTGCTAAACCCAGCATGAGAAATTGTGGGATGAGGGGGGCTTATTGCTTTTGAGCTAGTTGCACTAGTCTATTAAAAGAGACATCAGAAGTTTCTTCTAAAGCAAAACACATGCTTTGAAATTACTTTTCAGATGTTTATAACAAGCACTCTAAATGACACAGCATTTTACAAGTGTCTCAAAAAAAAAAAAAAAAAAGCAGTATACCATTACCTTGGTCATTTCCCCCATCTAACGTTTCCTCTCCCATTCCTCCTTTACAATTCCTATCTCCTTACCCACCCTGCCTGACCCCACTGAAGTTTCATTAATTGTGAGTTTGCGGCCAAAGATGCTTTTAAAGTAAAGTGTTGTTTATGGAGACATAGTCCTTAGTTTGTTTACTTCTCTCCCCCCAAGAAAACTGCAACACACACTTGTATTTATTTAATGCTTTAGTCATTGAAATTTAACAAATAAATAGTTGCAAGGGAAAATATTCAAATATAAAATCAGTAAAGTACATTCTCCTCACAGAGGACTAACCATGTGCCACAGAGCTGTGTGCAAAAGAGAGCCTATGAACAGCTTTTAGAGCATGAAAGCACACTCTAGGACAGGAGTGCCAGGGCTTTCAACCTAAAAAGATAATGAAGTAAAAATTAAATTAAGCTCTAGAAAATAGAAGGTTTGACTACAAGCTGTCTTTTCAGTCATAGTTACAACTGCACTATCCCAAATCTATTTTAAGTGCTTTAATAGACTTCTCCAATTAATATGACCAATCCTCAGATGCTGTAAATCAGTGTAGATAATTAGCTATGTAAATCATTAGTTCTTGTAAACTCACAAGCTCCACTGAAGTCAGCAGAATCTATGAGTTTATAAGAGCGAATGATCCATCTCTAAGCACATATATCCAGGGATCTAAGAGCACGGAATAAAAGCAGGATTATTTAAATAAAGATGTACAAATACTGAATAACAGAAGAATACAAAATGTATGATCATCACAGAATTAAAAACTTTTTTTTTCTCCAATAGTATTAGTTTTCATAGCTAACTAACTTTTAAAATGTCTACCATTCAACACACACTTGAAAAGCTGAAGAAGAACAATAGATTTATAAAGAGATTAGTACCAATTTTTAAGTAGAAAATACATGTTACATCTTCCAGTTTGGTATAAGTCATATAAATCTCATACAGCCTTTGGTTGAAAACCAATACAATGTAATTAATATTACAGTGTTTACTCAGTATTCATTAGAAGAGGATGCTGTACATTGGAGGAAGGGAAAACATGGGAGTACTAAAGTACTGTATTATAGAAAGCAAAGGCTGAAGCAAAAATACTCTAGGGTATATCCTGTGTATCAGGTAAACACATTCAGAATAGTAAACAGGCTGAAGTGGAGCCTCCCAACAGTTACAATATAGCACAAGTACATACATATTTATATACATACCCATATATCATCTTTATGAAAGTGTAGTCCCTTACACCTGAATTTACTTCTGTGCTTAGCTCATTTGCAGTTCAGACAATACATTCATTTATTAATAGTACATCCCATTACTATTGGAGTTTGCTGGAGCTGTCACAGATAAGGACAGATCAAGTAAGACTTGTTTTTAACTCACTATCACCATATGGTGATAGTGTTCAAGAGCCATCCTTCTTGTTACTGAAGGAAACAATTTTCTGATTTATGCACAGCAAAACAAGACAAAACTCTATTCTGTGCAAAACAGCAGTTCCTATTAATTAGGTAAAAAAAGTAGCTAATGTTTGTTTTAAAAAGTAATTTGAAAATAATCAGCAAGCACAAAAAGAAAAATGACTACTTGTACATATAACATTCAGTCTCTAAAGAGTTCTCACAAAGACATTTTCTAGACTTTTGGATAAGAACACAGATTACACTTTGAAAAGAGACACTTTTTAAATTATTATGAAATAAATTGTTTACTTACAACAAAAATAAAACAATAAGCTTCTTACAATTTACTCAGCAACTTTTTTGGTCTTTTGAGCTAACAAGTCCACTGAAGCAAAATGTTACATATCTAATTCATTGCAGCACTGATATTAATGCAAGAAACAAGGCTTGGCTCAGGATATGTTTGTAAGAAAGATTTCCGCACCTTACACTAACGATTCATTTTAGCATTAATAAAACCTCCTCACTTCAGCATGAATCATGACTGACTATCCTTCTTCAAAGCTTCCAGTCTTTGCAGTAATGCATTTCCAAAAAACTCTCGATACGCAGGGCTGAGAGAGTCCAACAAGGAGTAGACGGTTTCGTGGTATGGAGTTTGCAAACTGTCATCAGTCTGATCAAAAGCATAAGCTACTACCTGCAACAAAGAAACCAATGGTTACATCTTTGTGACTAACATCACCTCGCCATGCGGAGCAGAGAAATTGAAGATCAACTTTTCCAGTCCTTGCAGTACAGTAAATACAAAGATACTTGATTTAAATTGCAATCAATGCTTTTGAATAATGATTATTATAAAGCAAAGAGGCTTTATAAATTGTATACAAAGTATTTTACCCTAAGTCCTGCTTCTGTGAGCTCCAGGCAGTATTTGTTCCTCTCCCTGGTCTCCACATTGATATATGCCACATCCTCTGCACATGGAAGGGTTTTTGAGACAAACATGTTGCTCACAGCAAAGAGAACATCATTCACAACAGCTTCTGCTTCTAGTCTCATATCTTTCACATCTGCTCCATCAAAGTCTCTATAATCGGAATCCTCTTCAAAGCCCATATTATTGCCCATCTCCATAGGATTGTAATCAGTCTCCATTCTGCACACAAAAACATTTTTTTTTTAGATTTATAATATCAGTATAACACTATACATATACTATGATAATACCACTACAATATACACAATATTAACACTATAAATACGCCTATTTAAGATATAGCTCATGTTTTACCATCATTCAAGACAAAGTAAAATATAGAACCCGGTGTCCTTTAAGACTCATGACAAGCCAAATAAGCCCACACCAAAGGGGTTAGAACAACAGTTTAAGACGGCAATACCAGCACATAAAAGCAGTATCACAAAGGTTTGGCCTGTTCTTCATTAACAACTTGCTACCTGTTGTTTAAGAATCTGTTATGATTCAGCAGTAATTAATTCCACGCCTTGCTCATCCAGAATGTATTAGGAAAACAAGGCATGCCCCAGGGAAAAAAAAAAAAAAAAAATCACTAGCCACAGCCCAAAAGGTACTAATGGTGCACTTAACGAAAACTGCATCCAGAAGCCTATGAGCTATACGGTTATCGCACTTTATAAAGACAGATGAGGAACAATGGCCTTTTGTTTGCCCTCACTGAGGAGCAGTTCTCTCACAGGCCATCCCCGACGCGTTTCAGAAACGCGCAGGGCAGCCTTGCCTATGCACCGGTGACGGCGAGGGCCGGCCAGCGGGAGGTACCACAGCGTCGCGAACCACGCCCGAACTCATCGCACCCAACGTCCCGCCCGGCGCAGGTCCCCACAACGGGGGCGCCTCAACATCACCCGCCGCCATAGGGCGACTTCCTCGCGCACAGCACCTACCGAGACGCCGCCAGCGCCGCCCGGCCCTGCGGGCGGCCCCGCTGCCCTGGGAGCCCCCGGGAGCCCCGGGCAGCCTCAACCGCCGCGGCACGGCACCACCCTCCTCGCCTCACGCCCACCCGGGAGGCCACTTCCGCCCATCTCTGAAGCTGCTTCCGCCCGCCCGCCCGCGAGGCCGCTTCCGCCCGCCGTTGAGGTCGCTTCCGTCCCCGCCTGCTCCGCCCGTTCGCCACTTCCGCTCGCGCGTGGCGGCGCCGGTGACGGCGCTCTGCGGGGGGCGGCAGGAGAGGAGCAGCCGCCCGCTCGTGCGCGCGCCCGCGCCGCCGCCCCGGGGCCCGCGCGCCGCCGCCACCTCCCCCCGCCACCCACAGCCCCCCCGCGCTACGGCCCCCCGCGGCCGCCCCGAAGATGGCGGCGGCCGAGTGAGGATGGCGCTGCCTGCGCGCGGTTCCGCGCCCTGAGCGAGGCGGGTCAGCGGCTCCGGCCCGGCGGCGCCTCGCGCCGAGCCCCGCGCCGCCGCCATGCCGTGGCCCTTCTCGGAGTCCATCAAGAAGCGCGCCTGCAGGTACCTGCTGCAGCGCTACCTCGGCCACTTCCTGCAGGAGAAGCTCAGCCTGGAGCAGCTCAGCCTCGATCTCTACCAGGGCACCGGCTCCTTGACGCAGGTCCCGCTGGACAAGTGGGTAAGAGACGCGCGCGCTGCCCCTTCCCGAGGCTGCCGCCCGCCTTGTTTTCACCTCGCGGCCTCTTCCGTGGAAAAAGGTTAAAGTCCTAATTAGCCTTGTATCCAGGACACCCTTCCCTGTTAGGTGAGCATGGAGAAAACATGAAAATGGCCATTTATTGCGAAGGAAAAAAAAAAAAAAAGTAAAGTTTTTTTCCTAGCTACGTTTGGGTTTGTTATTATTAATGCTAAGAAATACAGAAAAAAAGGAAAGAAAAATGCCTGTTGCCCTTTAACTAAAAGGTAAGAATTATGGGCATGTCATAGAGAAAAAAGAGCTGTCCGTGACGGTAATCAGCTGCTGTAGTACCTGGGGAGTATGTTTGCTGCGGGCTGCTAGAGATGAGAAGAGCACAAAGGTTTCCCTGCACTAACCACGTTTAGGCTTCAGCCTGGAGCAGTCTTGGCTCTCCTGGATAGTGTTACGCTAAAGGTGGCTCTCACAGACTTCAGAAGGTGGAAGTGCTTGTTGACAAGAAGCAGAAACCTGCAGCCTAACTGGAGTTTTCATAGCAGCTGGGCTGGCACATTTTGAACCATTTGAAGCTTTTTTTTCAGCCCCCATCTATAAATTATATGTGTATGTGTTTATGTACACAGGTAGTCTGTTGGTAGTAATCAAAGGTGCTGTGTCCATGTGAGTATTTTGTAAGGTTTCTTGGTAGAATTACCCATGTTGCTGAATTCTCCATGCCAGGCAAGCTACAGTCATACGGAGCCATTTGTACTGTATGTGTCACTCATTGACTCCCAGGGTCACCGAGATGATCAACTTGCTGTACAACCTCACTGCTTTACAAGCATTTTTTATTGTACTGTATTCTGGTAGAGGGATGTACTGGATAGATTAAAAGAAAATATTGATATCTGGCATTTGTGCATAATGCTCCACCAGTTGCTTTTTTGAAAACATATTTGAGAGTGGCAGTAGCAAAACATTTCCAGAAATTCTCGGTATTTGTGTATGTCTGTCTTTTTGTTTTCCTGGCTCTGCAGCTTATTTTGTGTAGGAAGGAAGGCAGGCTGTTACACTTTAACAGAATTGCAATGCCCTCTAGTGGATCTCAGAGCGATTTTCTCTAAACAAACTGACTTTATTTAAAAAGTAAACACTGAAACAGCAGCAGTAAGGAGCAGCAGTAATGAGCAGTACTAAATGAAGTTAAATATGCTTTCTCAGTGATTAAGTGTATATACAGCACTGTGTAGGATACCCTCCCCATTTGGAGATCAGCATTTTTCTCTCTGGCTTGTAAATAGCGCTCGACGTGTCGGAGGATCTGGGCATGTGACTCTCACGAATGACAGATTGCAAAAACAGATGTTGCGGAAGCATGGAAGTATTACAGCTCTTTTCTATTTATTTATTTATTTTTCCTGTCATTGTCAGCTTGTTCAGCATGAATCACCTGAGTGGCTGTGGTTACAGACGTTGTCTTATCCATACTGTGGATACTTTGTTCGTCGGAGTATTGTAGATATTCTAGCCGGCGCTGTTGGTGTGTTTGCAGATTGTAGAGATACCTTAATGGCCTCAGGTATTCTCAAGTAACCTCTTGGTCTCCTGAGACCTGACTACTTTAAAAAAAAAAAAAAAAAAATCTAGCTTATGATGTTGGTGGTTGAATTTGAATGTACGTAATATAGTACTGTGTTGATGGTATTACTGGGATTCCAGCTTTCAATCAAAGATGTGGAAACAAGTCTCGATGTGAAGATAGAGCCTCAGTTTTAACATTTCATTTAGAATGCTTTAATCTGTGCTTTAGAGGAACAATAGAATTGTTTATGGATTAATTTCACTATAAAGCATTTTGAATTCTCTGCTTTTAGACAATAAGTTTTATTTTGAAATACAAAATATTGTAAAGTAATTTCTATGTATGTTGGTAACAAAAAGAGATTAGATTTATTCAAAATCTTTTTTTTGAGAATTAACTTTGTTTAATGAAAAACTAATGCATATAAGCTAAAGTAATTTAAATATATGATATTTTCAAATATTCCAGTTTTCTTGCTGTATCTTCTCTTGCCTTGTCAGATATTATTGCCATCTCTGTAATTGTAACTGGAGTCAGAAGTTTTTCATTTCCCTCTCTTTCTAAAGTGTTCTTGTTCATTTTCTTTTCAAAAGATTCTTTGTAAGTTTAGTGAATTAAAATAATTAGAAATGACTTGTAAAATACTTTCAAATGGCCATTTTTTAAACTTTCGTTGTTGAATTTGAGCATTTGAAGTATGCCTCTGGTCGAAACGGTGAAGTCAAAACTATAGCTGTTGGCTTACTGAGCCCTAGGTCCTAATATGAAAGCCACAGGGTCCTATTTACTGAGTTTGGTGTGTGGTTGAGACTGATTTATATTGTTGGAGCAGTATAGAAGTTCTTACTTAGTTGAAATTGAAATTACTGACCTTCTGATTCAGAACATAAATTACAGGGATTATTATTATTATTATTTTTCCCAAATATGTAATCATTTAATAGGAAGAGTATACTTGCTTGAAAAAAACTACTGCTTGGACAGTATTCCATTTCACTTCATGAATGCTGTGTGTTTCCTAGAGCAGTATGATTGTTTGTACCTAGGTTAATAATGCTGCTGTGAAGAGTCCTAATAAAGGAACAATGTCTGTAGAGCACTGGTCAGGCATCTGGCTTTCATTCTTACTTTTTCTTATTAGAGCTTAATATTACCTTGAAGTCATTACAATCTGATTTAGAAATGGCATACATGAAGTACAGTGAAAATGGAATTTTTTTTTTTTAGTTCTGTTGTCACAGACAAATGTAGTGTGAGGATTACATTACATCTAGTGAAATACTTATGCCACAGAAACTAGGTACTTCTTGCATTTTTATTCTCAGCTATTTTTCAACTTGCTTCAAGAATTACCAGGAAAAGAATAGATTAACTTGGGCAGTGCTGCAGTGCATATTAAAGTAGCATAATAGGATTTGATATACTGTAAATAGCTGAACAGAATATTCAGCTGTCCACATGTTAATCTGTATTATATTAAAAGACCAGTAGTTAATGACCCAATTATGACAGAATCAAAATACTGAGAAATGTCCAGTTTATTGATTATCTAAGTGTAATTCTTTTCTGACATCCTCTGTATGTTCCATTGGTTATTATAGTGCACAAAATAATGGAAGTGACTTTTCTGATTCTCTTCTAGTGTTTGAATGAAATCCTGGAATCTGTAGATGCACCTCTGGAAGTCACAGATGGCTTTATCCAGTCAATTTCCTTATCTGTTCCATGGGGGTCCTTGCTGCAAGATAACTGTGCATTGGAAGTAAAAGGATTAGAGATGGTCTTCAGGCCAAGACCAAGACTTGGTATGCTTGTTTCTTCATTTTCCATATGGAGATTTTTTACTGTTTTTCAAAGGCAAAGCTGTGTTTGCCCTAATTCTTCCTAGTTGTTTTTTAAAAGGTTCTTTAACTTATGTGCATTTTCAACAGAGAATAATGTTGTTCTATTAAATAACTTGAAAAGTTTATCAAAAAAAAAAAAAAAGTTTATATAGAAGTACTGTGCCGCCTCTTCCAAACCATTTCAGACATATAAATGTGAAAATAATTCTTTAAAGTCTTGTGTGGAAGGAAGTTTTTGCTAACCATGTTCTGTGTGTATAGAATGCCAAATGCCGCCCAGTCAGTGCTGGTAGCTGTGCACCTTGCTTGTTAGGTGGCTATAGGATAACACAATGGAGTGAGATTTTGTGGAGATTTGTAGTGAGGTTTTGGCTTTCTTCAGCAGCACTAGGGTAGAAGGTGCCTTTTTTTGCATATTTGGAAAGTATCAAATGCATTTTGTTTGCCTCTGTTTGTAAAACCATGGCTTTTTAAGCACTGTAAATGCTATGTACATGCTAAGTATTGTAAACAATAGTAATTTTGATAACAATGTTGAAAGGCTTATCTCGTCTCTTCTAGCTTCTTTGTGTCCATATATCACTGATCTATAGTAGACTATCCTAAATTTTCCATCAATGCTTGAGGTATTCTGTTAAGATCACATGTGGGATTATTCTCGATGGGTGGAGACTTTTGAATATATGTCTGAAGGACTTGAATTTGAGGGTTTTATTTATAGTGTAAAGATAGTATAAGAAAATATTTTGGTTTTAATAGAATATAAAGATGTGAAGAACTCCATAAATTCCAGCTTTCTTCGCTTTTCAAGTAACTTTTAAGCAGTTCTATTAAAATCACAGTTGATTATACTTGATGTTACAATGTAAGCCTGACCTCTACCATTAAACTGAGTCATCAA